TACAATCTACCAAAGAAACAGAAGCTGTGCATTGATGATCTTTTTCTCTACCATCCAGATCACCATCATCCTGTGGAGCAGCGGTTCTCAACCTGTGGGTCACGACCCCTTTGGGGGTCAAACGACCCTTTCACAGGGGTCGCTGGGTACTCGTATGTGGGCGTATCTGCATGTGGGCCTGGAGACGGATAGAGGAGCGGTGTCTCGGTTCCTAAGACCTCGAAAATATGTGTTTTCCGACAGTCTTAGGCGACATCTGTGAAAGGTTGAGAACCGCTGCTGTAGAGGTTCATAAATGTTGGGTGAATGAAATCTAAACAATAACAAAGGGGCAGGGTCCAATTACACTGGAAGTTTCTCTCCATGTGTGATGATTAAGATGAATGAGTGATGTTAATTTCAGCTTCTTAACTTTCTTCCATTTACGATTTAATACAGCACAAATCAAGAAATCTAAGAAATACTCAACACGAATCACTTACGGTATTCTCCTTGCCTAACATGATGAGGTGATTTAAGTACAGTTTACTTGTATTACATGTCTGATGCCAGGTTACCGAAAGCTACTTATTATAATATACATATCAGGAGATAAGTGTATTGGCAACGGCACTGGGTAGAGGCCTATCAGTCTATTATGACTCCTGAAGAACAACTTTGTCCGTAAAAATCATCAATTAGTTTGGTTAATAATTTGGAAAAGAAATGGAGGTAGCATAGAGTAGTGGAAACAAATGGTTTGTGGAGTCAGACCAACTTGGGTTTGAATCCTAGCTCTGTCTTCTACCAGTATGATAATAAGGCTTCAGCATCGCAGATGAGTTTCCACCTCTCAAAAACAAAAATTACAATGCCTTTGGAGGGCTGCAGTAATGATGAAATGAGAAAAAAAATACATAACTTGCCTGATACATGGAAGGCAAGGAGGTGATTATATAAAACATATCTATATGCTCACTAAACATGTTTTAGTCACAGCTAAAATCTTCTTCTTGTAGTAAGAAGCACACCTGACAAATCTCACTGCTTTACAATGAGCCATTTGCTTTAATTCTGTTCCTGATTATTTCTTTCATGTTTATAAATATTCTTAAGTTATTTCTTAAAGACAACTTGCATTTATTCCTAATAGTCCATATTTCCTTCTACCCATTTCCGTTTTTAAGTAGCTCTAACTTTTGACTTAGGGTATAAAAGAGGCCAGGACTGAGGAAAACAACCAAGTCTAAGGAATATACCTGGTATATCTGATATAAGCAAAGCATTCCAAGGTTAGAGGTGCAATATACTACAGCTCTTAAGAGCCTCTGGAGACTATTACTTTCCCATGCCACATTTTTCTATTACCTTCTTCATACAGAAATACCTTTTAACCCAAGAAAATGGGTTACAAAATGCAAAAGTTGTGCTTCCTAAATGAGATCACTTCTGAAGGCCCATATTTTTCCTCAGGGGAATCCATTCTCCATTAACTGCCTTGCCACCCCATCATTTCTTCTTCTGGAATGCTCCCAGCCAGTGTCAAGGACTGATCACAGACAGCCTAGGCAAGCTGTAGCTGGTTCTATTGCTCTTGCTGAAAGCAAAGAACACTCCTTTCTTTTCATATTTTGAAATCTTCAAATTAACAACAAGTCAGTGACCATTTCTAAATCATGCAACATATGCTTGGTGCTACAGAAGATGTGAAAATATCAATCAACAGGGCTACTTCCTGTTTTTTTTGTATCTAACAAAATGGAGTTATTATAGTGTATTAGAAATCATATATTAAGGAATGTTGGTTAACCAGTCACCCTTGCCAAAATCTGATATGAAAAGAAAACAAAAGTTGGTAACAAATCTAGCTCTGATATTTCTCTTTCAGAATTATATTTAACAAAGGTTAATCTTTGAAGAATGCATGAAATCTCTTACCTAATTTAAAAAAGAAAGAACTTAGACAATTCATAATTACAAAACTTACAAATTCGTGTAAGACTAACTTATGTCACTACCTCTGCTGTTTTATAAAATCACCAAATTAATTTTTATTTTTAGGTAATAATGTTCCTATACCTCCTCTAATAAATTTTTTTTAAAAAATCATTAAATTTGTAGTATATATTTTAGCTGCTTCTAATAGGGAGTGAAAGCTGTGGGCTACCTGAGGATATAAAAGCAGCTTATGAAATAGCTTTAGTTTTAAACAAAAACTAACATTAACAAGTACAGCATATCTTGTTCTTTCGTGGGGCCAGCAAATTGATAGTTAGGTTTTTTAAGTTACAAAAATAGGATGGAGTAATTATATCTACCAAACTCACAATAGCCTGTTCAATGGAGAGTAACACTGTAATTTTTCTTCAAAGACAGTAAAATAGGAAGAAAAAGCCCCTAATTCTGTAATATAAGGGAAAAAAATCAAACTCTTGGGCGCCACTTACAGGCACAAAGCTTTCACTGATTTCAGTTATTACCCTGAAAAAGAGGGGCAGACTTAAAATCTATTTTTAATATGCATATTATTTATACAATTTATACTTCACAAATGTTATTTTCTACATCCGAAGATTAAAACCTAAAGGAAATTCTGAAATTAAAAAAAAAATCACAGAAGTCTCTTTAAAAATACAGTAGGCCTTTAGACAGAAGACCCATACCACTACTGAAATATAAAAGTAGTTCAAAATCTGTTAGATTTTCCTCCTGTATGTATGAATGTAGCTATTGCCAACAAAAATAAAATGTAGAGTTCAATTGAGAATTTACTGTACTGCTTATAATAAAAGTGCTTATACCAACAGATTAAAATAAATTCCAACCCCACTGACAAGGAAATTGGGGGGAAAATCACTGATTTCAATAAATGGGTAATCAACATTTTACTATAAATAAAATCTTTAGTATGACATTTGGTGTGAACAAACTAATATTGTGGCTAGTGACATTCATTTTTAAAAAATGATTATGTTGATTAGCCCCCTTTTTTCACATACTGTGCAATTACAATCCACCCCTTAAACAAAGAGGAGTAAAAAAACCAAAAAAAACCAACCTGAGTTATAAAAAGCAAAACTTAAGCATGGATTACTCAGTCCCTGAAGTCTATCTGCCTCCACCTTATTCCTCTTATTCTGTGTGGAGACAACACTAAACAACTTGTATACATTATTTTAATAGTGGTTGTTCTATATACATAGTTCACTAAGATGACTAGAACGGTGACACCTGCTAAATTATTTACTGTATCCAAAAAGGTGGTCTCATGAGAATAGATAAATTTCTCATATTTGGCATTTAATATTTTTACCTGGAGCTCATTTGTAGTAACAATTGCCTTCAAAGAATTATTCTAGTGAAGTTTTAATCCAATCTGCACAGAAGCAGGAAAATGTTGAGAAACATAACTCTTGTTTATGCACAAGTGCACAGACACACACACACACATAACTGTCAGTCACAAATCTTTCCTCTCAATATTGCCATGGCACAGTGCTGACTGTGTTTTTTAAGTTTTTTTTTTTTTTTTTACGGGGCAGGAGGGAAGAGGGCAACATCCAGTAATAAAGTGTGGTTTTAAACAAATAAATAATCAAGTTAAAAAAAGTGCCAAACCACTTTAGAAAATTAACCAAAACCAACGATTTGTACTGTCCAATTCGTCTCACAAGGGAACAAACAGAAGAGACAGTCTTTAAAATACTCAGAATAAAGGCCAGGAACTCTACAGGTCAATGGGTGACCATCACAAAAACATTTCTCGCAACTCAAAATACCCATCAAGACTGTGCTTTGCATACACTAGTTTCAAAAAAAAAAAAAAAAAGGATTACCACTGTCAACACTTAAAAGAGTTTACTTTAACATAAAAAGTTTCAGTTGCCAAAAAAGGGTCAGACCAAGAACCGCTGATCTGAGTTACTTTACACATACCATACTGCACAGGCATCACAGGACTATCTGAGCCGAAGCCCACCGCACTGTGGTCCCTGGAATCTGGCAGTCGGCGGGCGGCCCGCGCAGCTGCACAGAGCAGGAAGCACCGCACCCGCGCGCCGCGGTCTCCAACCACGCCGGAGAGGCTGCGGGGAGCAGTCACCACCGCTTTGAAACTGAATGGCTGACACATCCGGTCCTGGCTCTCACACCACTGCGGCAAATGCAAACTTCAAAGGCCAAATTCAAACTCCAAACAGAAGTCACTCAAGTCTTAGTGGTGCAGTTCGCATTCCCCAGAACACTTGGAGCCCTTTGGGGGACGCAATTAGAACCCCCCCCCCCGTCCAAATAGATTGTAAGCCCCAGAGTCTGCAGCCAAACCGCCTGCACCGCTTTGACAGACGTTACCAAATCGTCCATCCGGAGGCCTCTCAGGCCGCGTCGCCTTCGTCCCGCCCCGGCCCCCCGGTACCTGCAGAGTAGCTACGCCTGTCACGGCCACCGGGACCTCGCCGCTTTCTCCTCCGCCCTCTGCCACCAACCCCTACCCAGCCTCTGACTGGGGCTTCCCACCCACCCCGCCCCTCTTTTGACCGCAGACCGCCTGAAGGCTCGGCCCTCAACCCCGGTGCCCCCCGAGACTAACGTCTGGGGGCACCGCCGCCGGGCTACTGCCCGCCCCCCAGCCCGGCCCGCAGGACACTGCCAGGGTTCCGCTCCGGGGCTCCTGTAAGAGCCCCGATTCCTAGAGCCCCACAAAGCCAGCCCGGGCCCCCACACCTTAACTCAACCGATCCCCGCGGCGCGTCTCGCACGCCTGTCACATGTCTGCAAACAATAACAAACTCTTCGGCACGTCCCCGCCCCGAGACCCCATTCCGTCCCCCAGGCCAGGTCCCGGATGCCGCCCGACGTCGGAGGGGTCAAAGGGGGGTGCCGGAGGACTCTGGTCCCGGAGAGCGGCGCACAGCCTCGCTGCGCGGAGCCCCGGGACACCGAGCGCGTTGCCCAGGATTCATTCATTGCCGTCGTCCGCCCGCCCCCCAAATCCCCGCCGCGCCCCCGGCCGCAATGCTCACCCGGCGGGGGCCGCTGCAGGAGGCGGCTCGGTGGCGGGCGTCCGCTTCTCTCCGGGCTCGGCCCCCGTGGGGCTCGGGGCGCCGCTGTCCGATGCGACCGCCGAGTCGGAAGGGTGGGCGCCGCTGCGGCTCGGAGCTCCGTGGGGCGGTAGCACCGCCACAGGCTGGAAACCAATCCCGCTCGCCGCCGCGTCCGTGGGCTCCGGCGACGGGGAAGTGGAAGAGGACAGCGGCGAGGCGGCGAGGAAGAGCGGCGGCTCCGGCAGCTGGTCCAGCTCTACACTCCGCACTTTGCGCAGCTGCCGCCGCCGCCAGTCCGTCCGTTCGCGGCCCCCGCTGCCCGCCTCCCGCAGCAGCCCCGCGGCTGCCACAGGCACGCTGCTTGCCTTAGGGGACCCTCCGCTGTCGCCCGCCTCGGGGCTCGCCACCCCGGCGCCCGGGAATCCCGACGACGAGGCGCGATTCCCCGCCGCCGCCGCCATTTTCTCTCGCGGGCTACATTCGCTGGGCCCCTGCGAGGGAGGGAGGGGGCGGGGAGAGTGCAGGGGGCGGGCGGACGGGCGGGCGGGCGCTACGCCGCTAGCGTAGGGCCGCCTGCGCCAACTGCGTGAGCGTGGCCCGCGGGGTGCGCCTGGCCTGGACCGACGGGCGGGCGCACCCGGCTCGGCTGGGGGTGCTGTGGGGCCCCCGGTCGCAGGTGGAGGGAACGGGCTGTCCGCTGGGCTTTGCGCGCGGGCCAGTGAGGTGGGCTCGGACGTGGCCGCCGTGGGGGCACCCCGGACCTTGAGCACTGCCCGTGCCACGCCGCCAGGTAGTCCCGGGTTGCACCGGCGAGAGGAGGAGCCTCGGCGGCTGCAGCGCGCCGCGTCCTCTTCGCCGCAATCTCGGCCGGCTCGGCCGGGCTCGCCCAACAGGAGTTGCAGTTCGAGCTTAGGTGTGTGGTGCGATGAAGGGGACGCAGGCAAGAGTGTTTATAGTATGTCATTCGCACAGCCCTTTGCAGTGGGCGTCGGGGAACCTGGGCTCGGACCAACCCCACCCCCACTTCGTTCCGGACGCGCAGGTGGCTCCCAGGGCGGTCGCCTGCTGCAAAGCGAAAGAAACTCAACGCTCAACAGACAGGCCGCCGCGGATCAAAAAAAATAGTTTTTTTTTTTTTTTTAAGTTTTCCTCTTCTTTTGCCCCCTCCTCTCAACTAGTACTACAAATAAAACCTTGGTGTATCCTGGGATATCTTGTTCACAGCCTCAAGTCCCCAAGATGTGGGACACGCTTCTCACTCCCTACCCCGCCCCCGGCTAGAGAGAGACCTGAATGGGCGGGGTCCCTGTAGATCTTTATTTTTTCCTCGGCTCTCTTTGAGAACGGCAGCGGTATACAGGACCACAAGCACGTTTGGGAAAGGAGCCTACGATGTGCCAGGAAGTGCTCGGGGTGTCATCCTCCAGGTTCTGGCCCTCCCCGAATCCGACGCCTCCAGCGGCACGTCCCTCTACCCCGCAGGGTCCGCCGGCGGTCCGGGTTCCCTCCGCCCCCACCCCTGCAGTGCCCGAGTTCTCTCACGTGGCGAGCCGAGCCCTTTCAGTCCCTGGGGGCGTCCGGGCGATAAGGTGCTTTGGAATGGAAAAAACACTATTTGCAAGTTAATGATTTTCGACCTCTCTTCAGGCGAGTAGAGCTCCCGTGTCTCGTTGATTTCTACCCTCCTTTCTTCCCCCCCCCCCCCCCCCAGCAGGTTTGTCTGTGATGGGAAATCTCCCACAGCCCGGCAGCAGCGTCCCTAGATTTATTTGGGGAAACTTTAAGATACACGAGCAGAGGGGGAGGGCCCCTCGTGAACAGAAAGGACAGCGCTATCTTATCAGTCTTCATATATTCAGACGAAAGTTTGAAATGTCTACAAAATAATTCCTTTGACTTCTTGGAAATAGATGAAATGAAAGCCCTCTTCCAGGGGTATAATTGTTAACTGAGGAGGACGGTGATATCCGAGGGTTTTCATGTTACCTTAATGTTTTGAGTACTCCTACAACATCTGCCATAAGATAGTTTTAGATAGTTACATCCAACGGTACAAATTTTGAAAGTTTAGATAAATCTGTTAAAATTCTAAGTCAACATTTAGGCTATAATTATACGCTCTTTTAATGGTAGCCAAGTGTATCACTCAAACCAAACAGTAGTTATTTCCCAGGTCTTCCGGGATTGCCACACCCACCAAATCCTAAATCGAAAGTAATACTTTCTTCTTTTCTATTTAAATTAAAAAAACAATCTTTAAATTTACACACAAACAGGCACCTGTAAGTGAGAAAAGTGGATGCCTTTAGCTCCTCAAAATTCTTCCAATTTTTAGTTTGGCCAGAGTAGCAAAGTAGAAGGTATTCCAGCAAAACATTTACACAGTGATGAAAACGGGGGTCAACTGGGAGGGGTTTCAAATACAACACTACCAGCTAGCCAGGGTTCTCTGACCTCTATCCACCACACAACATCATGAAGAACTAAGTACTGGTCTTTCACCTAGGTTTTGGTGCTTTGATCTTAATCTTTTATGTAAATATTTAGGTTGTCATTATGCATCTGTATTCTGAAAAACTGATGTTTTTAAGAGAGAAAAATAATCAAAGGACCTGGTTGGCTGAAGGATGTTCTTCCTCTGCCATATGTTAATACAATCTTCTTTGAGGAGAATTTAACCCATATGTTTGCTACCGTAGTTTCTGTCTTAAGCATGGGTAAGATTCTAGCTCTGTTTTGGTGTTACTGGATCCTACTTTATATTACTTCACAAAGGCATGTGTGGAATTGCCTTTATTTGATTTCTTTAATGACATAAAGGAGACGTGTATCTTCAAAGGTTGCTTGTACACTGAAACTCCATTTACTATTTCCAAGCTTTTTATTTCCATCCTTTCTGATATAAACATTGCAATGATTTTATTTATGCCGTGAGAACTTGGGTAACCTTTATGCCAGGGTTTTACAGATCACTGCTTCCACATAGTGCTTCTGGGAATAGCCGAAGTCACACTTCAGTTCCTACACCTCATTCATTTGGAGGATCCAGTTTAATATTGGTGCATTTCCTCATTGTGCATAAATATCACTGACATTTGCATGAACAGCTTTAATATGCACCGACAGAAATATGTCAGCTTGTGCATCATCATATATTTAGTAAGCACCTACTATGCACATGCACGGAATTTTCTTCTTCTCTGGGAATATTGTTCGTTGTTTTCCATCATTACAAAATTAAAAATTAGACAAGTAAAACATTCCCATCTACAAATATTTTTTAGTGGGTATTTATTGGGCTGATTCTGATAGAATGTCAGATCCATCTGTGTGTGTGTGTGTGTGTGTGTGTGTGTGTGTGTGCCTCTGTGAGATCTGTGTCAAGTAAACAAAGAGTAAGATTGTAATCTCCAGAATTGAGCAAAAGGTGGTGTTCTGTCAGGCTTATAAACATATATCATACTCACAGGAAAGTTGAGGCTAAAACTTAGTTTCTCAGTGCTCTTCCAGACACCAAACTTCCCAGGTGTTTCTGGATGTTCTAAGTCAGGAAATCTTGTCATCAATGGGATAATTGGCCCCCTATAAAGGCACTGCAGGTGACATTATAGTAGAAAGTTTCTTAACCAGCCTCTACGTAGCTGGCTCATACAGTAACAGATACTTGCCATTCCCAGTGTGATGTATAACACGCAGAGGGATGAATGCCCATGGCACCTGCACACTTCTGCTCCCACCAAGTGAGTCATGGGCCTCAAGAGAATCCATCATACTTGTTCCCAAACCTGATTACACCCATTGTAACTGTTCTTATGAAACTTAAATACCATCAAATTGATTATTAAATTAGATAAGCATGAGTATGTGAGTGCAAAAAGAAAGATGTTCCAATGAAAACTAAATTAAATGCCTTGAAAGAAGGAGGGTGAAGACACTGAAAAAGTCTCTGTTATGGGAAAATTAGTTGTGAGAATGATGATTGTAAAAGATTGGGAAAAAAGTATTCAAATCTATAAGAGCTTGCTTTGTATGTATCTTATGAGTCCTCACTTTGCTTTAAAGAAACTAAAAGTGGAAATTGTAGGCAAAGAGATACATGAGAAAGATACATGGTACTCTAAATTGTGGATCCACACTCAAAAGACCAAGGCCCTACAGCCAAATACTAGTTAAAAAAACTCCAAATCATATAAAACAAAGCCTTGTTATTTATGCTTTAAGCTAAAGTAAAATATTTAACAGATACATATGTGTATATATATATATATATAAAATTGCTTTTATTTATTTTTTTATTATTAGTTTCAGGTGTACAGAACAATGCAAGTTATCCTTTTCACCTCTCACAAAGTAACAACCCCCCTCCCCCATCCACTGCCCTTCCACCCCCGATGTCATACTTATCTATTACAATTCCACTGACTCCATTCCCACACTCTACTCCACATCCCGTGACTATATGTATATATAATTATAGTTGACATACAATATTATTCACCATCAGCTTCAGAAATACCGTGCGGTGGTCAGGCCTCTACACTGTCTATGCAGTGGTCTCACTAACAAGACATGAGTCCATCTGGCACCCTAAAAAACATTTACAACATTATTGATTATATTCCCCAGACTGTCTTTTTGACCCCTGAGGCTATATTGTAGTTACCAATTTGTATTGTTTCGTCCCCTCCCCTTTTTTTTCATCCCCACCCTCTCCCAACTAGCAACCCTCAGTTTTTCCTCTGTGTCTCTGAGACTATTTCTGTTTACATTTCTCATTTATTCAGCTTTTTAGAATCCACGTATAAGTGAGATCATATGGTATTTGTCTTTCTCTAACTGGCTTATTTCACTTAGCATAATGTTCTCTAGTTCCATCCATATTGTTGCAAATGATACTGTTTCCTTCTTTATGGCTGAGTAATACTCCATTGTATAAATGTACCATAGTTTTTTAATCCAGTCATCTACCGATGGGCATTTTGGTTTCCAAGTCTTGGCTATTGTGAATAGCTCTGCAATGAACATAGGGGTGCATATATTTTTTCGAATTAATGTCTTGGGTTTTTCTGGTATGATCGCTTTTATTAACCAGACATCTAAACATATTGCATGTATTTGCATGTACTTAAAAATCAGAAGCTAAATTTTGTAGTACATGATGAAAAACAGTTGAATTGGGTTTTTATATTTAAAAATAAAACTACAGTTCAGGAAACTTGATCTCAGTTAGCAAAATTCTGCTTACCTTTACAACTCTGCCCTAATTCTTTGAGTTCTTTGAATGAGCCATTTTGGTTGCTGTTTTTTATAGCTGATGAGATACACCTTTTCCATTTGACTTTTGTGGCTTAATCATGACTATCATTTTTACAAAAAATATTAGAAACTTCATACATGTTCCCAAGGTCCTCTGTGATAATCAGTTACTTTGTTTGAATTAGTATCCTTGTTGGTTTCTCTCCCTTTAGGATGCACTGGTCCAACTTTGCTGAATCCTACACTGACATGTGACCTGAGAAGTTCAGAACCACTTTCAGTGGTTTAATCAATGTCTGCATCTTTTGCAACATTTGCACCTTCACTTTACAATTGATGTGCATTATTTTGGGGTCAAAGCTACTAAGGCATCCACTAAAGCACTACTGTCCAATAAAATATAATGCAAGCCATGAATGCAAGTCACATATATAATTTAAAGTTTTCTAGTAGCCCCATTAAAAAATACTAAAAAGAAAAAGTGAAATTAATTTCAATAATATGTTTTGTTTTACATAACATATCCAAAATATTACTGTTTCCATGTGTAATCAATATATAAAATATTACTAATGAGATCTTTTGCCATTTATTTTTGTACTAGATCTTTGAAATCTGGTGTGGCTTTCACAATTCAGAA